AAAACATAGGACTCACGGCGGGTTTTACTTGGGAGTGTACCAAATTGTATTTTTATCAACCTAATTAGCATTATTCCTATGAAGTCTGAGGCTTATTTTACAATTTTTAAAATTGCTATCACATCCGCTAAAAGGGGATATATATATATATATATATATATATATATATATATATATATATATATATATATATATATATATATATATATATATATATATATATATATATATATATCTTTCGAAATGTAGGCAATTATAAAGTATTTGAAAAATATTAGATTTTTTGTTAATGAATTAGAATTTGAGACACTGTGTTTAAATAATAACTTTAAAAAAAATATTAATTTAAAGATGGAAAACAATAGACAGATGGTACCATTTTGTTATTGACATATCACAAAATAATATATTTTGTATGATAACAGTATGAACTTACAGTTTTATTACTGAAAATGAAAAACTTGAAGATAAAGCAGTGTGAGATCTCATAAATCCTCTACAAGTACAATTCGTGTAGAGAACTAAATACAGCGACACCTGGTAACATCAGAGGCAAGGTATTGGTATAGAAAATGTCATTCCATATTCGACTTAACGAAAGGTTGTATTATGTAAATTTTGCTGCGCCTCGGTTGACAATGGTTTTCTTGGGGTGAAATTTTTCAATGTTACACCCAACTATATGCAATTTTTATTATATTATTCTGAATATTTTATACAAATACATATAACAGTGAACCGTGCGCGCATAAATTCTGCGCAGTCACCATTTTTTGGAATATCACCCGTCGTCAAGCATTGTTGACTGTTGCTACGCTGGAGGGCGTGGCTTCATCATTCAGCGGGTAATAGTGTTTTTTAACAAATGAATCAGTTTCAACTAATCTACATGAAAGTATAATATTTGCAAATAGTGTCATAATTTCAACATAGAATTAGCAAAAAGCTGATGTAAACGAGATTGTTGAAAACCTTGTGATGTCAGTAGCCTGATTTGGTCGAAAATGAATAGTTCTCATAACATGCTCATGCGTACCAAATCGGTTGGGAGACATAAGCATAATATGCAGGTGATATTGGAAAATAAAAATAACCATTTTTTTTATTTGAATTCCACAATGATATAATACAAACATAAACATATGAAATTAACACAATCTTTTCATTGTAGTATTCATTTTTGTGAGAGAGAGAGAGAGAGAGAGAGAGAGAGAGAGAGAGAGAGAGAGAGAGAGAGTTAAAAGAGAATGTGGATGACAGATAATTAGAGGAAGTAGCAAAACTAGTTTAAAGACAGGGTTTATTCATGTTAGTCTGAAAGTATGGAGTGCCATTTTTGCCAGGAGGTGTTAAACTCATTTATTTTATTGCATTCTCTGGCTGTATATTTCAATGACTTATAAATAATTTTGAATTCATTCAGAAAACCATGGATAGAGAGGCTGAGGTTTTGACAACGAACTCTGTAGATATATTGCTTCATTGACAAAAGCAGCATATTTAAAGATTTTGATGATATTGTATTACTTGTATCTCCAAATATAAAAGTTTTACCATCTAGATTTAATAAAATGTCTTTTTGGTGACAGTGTCTACCAAAACCATCTAGAAATTGTTGTACAACTGGACATTGCCAAATTAAATGATATATTGTTTCTTCCTCTACTTCACAAAATGTACATAGGTTAGAGTCTATTTTACCTATTTTAAACATTAGAGTATTGGTTGACTAATAAATAAAAAACAACTATTGTGAATTGATAAGCATTGATATCTCTAAATGTCGACGTGAACAATTTTATTCTTCCCATGTAGAACATTTGACTATTTTCTGATTTATAAGAATTAAAAAATAAAGATCGGCTAAAACTGGACGCGAGGATGATCTTATTAAAGCAGAAGTAAATGCTATTGCACTTAATAGAAAAAAGGATTTCTGGATAAGAGAGTAACATATCCTTGATTAAGGATATTAAATCAAATGTCATAATGTCATAATCAAAAAGTAATATCCCCTGTAACATATTTCTTTGTAAAAGTAATGGACATATATTTTGTACCTGTAGATAGTATGCACTGTGATTTTTCATGATTTGCAAAACATTGTCTTGTAGGATGCAGATTGACACTACTGTATATAGTTAAATTTGTTGCATGTTTATTATTTTATTATATTGTGTATGAAAAAAAATTGTTTTTTCATAACACACTCAAATTGCTCGTCGGTCATTCTGGCACATTAGTGTTTGTTTAACATTAAATGGAAAAAAATAAGACCTAGATGCTTTCATAAGACAGTAATATCCGCACTAAGGTGTTTGCCTCTAAATGCACACTCCTTCATATTTGGGTAAAAAAGGAAAAAGCCAAAATAATTTTACACAGTACATGTATTTGTTAAATCGAGCATAAAATGCTCAGGTGAATATGTGACCCATGAGCCTCTCATGTAGGTATTTCATATACTTAATTCATTACCAGTCTGAAATTACAGAATTTGATTAATGATGTAAATTATGTTTTGAAAAAAGGGGGATATAAATTTTTGGCTCTTTAAATTTATTTTCTAAACAACAAATAATATTATTTAAGTGCAAAGCATTTTTGATGAACTTAATAAAAATTAGATGCCAACTTTCAGAATTGATCAAATTGTGCAAATTAAACTTATTTGGATAGGCAAAAACCCTCTTGAAAACCCACACCCAATTAATTTGTCAAAACCACCCCCTTTTCCACAATTTGCCCGTTTTTGGAAATAAATTGCAAAGTTATGTTAAAACATCGTTTGTAATGATAATATAAAAGTACATGTATGTGTACACCTTTTCGAAAATTTCTAAACCCGCGCCACAAATTGGACTTGCGTCAATTTACTAGTACTAGTTTTACCATCATCATTATTGGATTGCACATGGTGAACACATCATTACATGTATATCAGTAGGAATTAATTCATTGTGTGTTTAACTGGATTATATTTCATGAAGCTGACAGCCTATAACAGTCGGTAAGTACAAGTTTAGGTATAGATTGGGGTAAAAATAATCTGAAATGCAAATGGTTAGATTATAGTTTAAAAAGGATCAAAGATCATCGGATGCCACAATAGACGAATTTCACATTCTGAAGAGTTATCTCCCGTTGTCGACGTAACGCTCATTTTTCTCACTTTAGCCTGTAAATATTTCCAAACTTCAAATGCTATCGGGTAATTTTGATCCGTTCCTACATTTTTAGAGTATGGGGCAACATGAAAAACATAATGAACATATTCATATAAATTTCATTTCTAAGAGTTGGTAACGTTATAGAGGGTAAACAGTGCCTTACGCCGGTTGACCCCAGATTGACCCCGCAAAGGGAAATAACTTTTGTAATTGTAAAAGTCGTCGTCTGGCGGGTCTAGATCTGCATTCCCATTCCCTTGATATTGAAACAATCTGAATCAGACAGCTTTAAATAAAATTTGAAACCTCGAAGCCGTCTTTGTATTATGACAGTTTAAATGGTAGAAGCGGACATGAACCCCCACCCCCGACCTCCCTGTCCCTGAAATAACAAATGATCATGTAACTCAAAAATAATTGAAAACTTTTTCCATTTGACTATGAATAGTTTTGTTTCTTGTGTTATTATGTATCTAATGGTATTCAAAAGTGCATCAATGATATGTTTGCCTGAATTTCAATTTTAAAGAAACTATTCAAGACATTCTTATCTAAGTTCATACACTAATACAAATTTTTGTGTTGCATTACTAATATACACTCGGCGGGGCATTCATATCCTATGGACATATTTCTAGTTTAATTGATCAACTTTTCAGAATTTTATACTGTGTCTTTCATACTGCAGCTAGAATGACATCTTACTTAGATAAGTGAAAAAAATAAGTTTACAGTCGTGGCTTTGATGTACATCTTATTACAAAAGGACACAGCCAGAATTTCTTTTTTAATGATTTGTTACAAATGTCATATGGAACACCTATATGAATGGAAATTCTGAAATCTTATTGCACATCTACAGGACAATACCAATCACTTTAGAAAATATATAAGCCTACTGGGTAAAATGTAAGAGGAATTCTTGGAACCAGGGTGCTTTTGTATTAAAAATGTCATTTTTCGACCCCCGTTTGACCCTCAGGGTGAAAATGAAAATTCCGAAACCTTATTGCACATCTACAGGACACCACCAATCATCTTTGAAAAGATGATTAGGCTACTTTGTAAAATGTAAGAGGATTTCTAGGAACAATGGGCCTTTTGCAGAAAAACGTCGTTTCTTGACCCCAGTTTAACCCCAAGGATGAAAATGAAAATTCCAAAACCTTATTGTACATCTACAGGACACCACCAATCATCTCCCAAAAGATAATTAGGCTACTGCGTAAAGTGTAAGATGAGTTCTGGGAACCAGGGGTCTTTTGCATAAAAAAACCGTCATTTTTCAACCCCCATTTGACCCCAAGGGTGAAAATGAAAATTCCGAAACCTTATTGCACATCTAATGGACCCTACCAACCATCTCCCAAAAAATGATTAGGCTACTGTGAAAAATGTAAGAGGAGTGTGAGGAAGAAGAAAGTGTGACAGACGGACGGACGGACATGAGTAACAACAGTATACCCGAACTTTTGTTAGAAAGTGCGGGTATAATCACATTATTAGCCACAGTGTGTTGAACTTCTTAATAGACCAATAGATTCAACGAATGTAAAGTCAATAGTATGATATCAACCCAATGTGAATGATGATTCATATATCAAAATACCTGCAACTAAGTGAAAACGAAGATATGCATATATTTGACATAGATTTAATACCATTATCTATATATATCATTGAAATTCCACAAAAGTTAGAGTTTATACGTGAAATTCACATAGATATTATTACATTCCTTTCCAGGTATATATTGACGCTTGTAATTTTTCTTCTGGATACCAAGAATAACAAAAGAGAACCACAGTATAGAACTAAAATAAGTTTATTTTAAGCTCTACAGCAACAAAAATTAGGACCACAGTATGTTGCATGGCATCCAGCGGATCCATATTTGTACATTGCCAAGCGTGCCTTTCCTATCTTTTTAGGGTGAAGGTACCGGGCATTATAGTAGAAGTGGAATGCGTTAAAACATGTAGGTCTGAAAAATATTGACATGCTGATAAATTCAAATATCAGAGGAAGAGTGAATATCTGTGTTACTGAATTTGTGTTTTATCCTTTTGACTTTTTGTCAATAAAATATATTCAATTTATTCATATTTTACTTTTGTTAAAAAATGAATTTCTCACTAGCATACAATGTTGTTTAGAAACATTTCTGAACATTGAGGCATATTTTCAAGGAATATCAATATATAAGCATTTGGTACCAAAGTGATAAAAATGTGACCTTATATTCTAGTTCAAGATATTTTACTATCTTAAGTATGAAATACGGCATCCCCGAATGAACTGGAGAAGAATCAGGCATTTCTAATTTACAACCAAAAATACGAATTCTGAAGAACGCCTTTGACTTTTTTACTTTAAGTTGACTAAAACTATGTGTGAGGGCGTAGCATTGCTTTGTGTTGTATCGTTCATAAGCCGTTAAAAACGCGGATACTTTTTTTCCCAAATGCCAACTCCTTACGCCGCGACTCTATAGCAAGTAAATTTAAAATTATGTTTCACTATTCCTAACTATATTCTAATTTTAATGGTGCAACTATAAGGAAAAACGAAAATTAAAAAAACATAATTTTGAATTAAGATAGAATTAAAATAAGAACATATGTAAAATTGTCAAAATAAAATGAGATTAAGAAATGAGAATCAAATTTGAAATTTTAACAAAAAAGTTGAATATAAACATTGAAGACGAATTGTGGCACTGATTCTTATTATCGAATCTCGACAATTTGGCTGTATAGAAACATGTAGAGAGATGACAGGTTAACTTACAACACATTCAAGTTTAATTCTCAAGTATCTCTCCCGGAAAAGCATAGTTTACGACATCAAAAGTACATAGATTCATAGTATAAACTCAAAGTCAGCACAGTTGTATGTTCGAAAATTACGTGCTAATATGTCGGAATTACCTGCTTAAATGTCTAGACTATGACACTGATACGATTGCATGTTCGGAATTACAAACTTACAAGCTTAAGTCTGGATTTTTAACACGATTACCCTCATACACATGTTTATAATGTAGTAAACACTTCATACTTATTTTTTTCTAAATATGATTTGACATGAGGAATAAAAAAGAAATTACTTTGTCGATCCCTGATTTCCATAGATTGCCCGCATACTTGCACCCGCCTCCTTACATACTGTGGCACAGGTCTTGGACCCTCCACACTGCTTTCGAATGACAGATACAAATCCTCCTGTAGGTATGGCAGCACAGGCGGCTTGCACGATATTATCAGGATCCTGGCCATACGATTCTGATAAAATATAAATATATGTATTTATTATTAATTTCAGATTCAGTTGATTTAATGTATACTATACTTTTCTCGGAGCACTGGTAAATAAGAAGACATATCAAAGAACAAATAATCAATTTTAAGTTTTCATTTAGAAAACTAGAAAACATTGAAGGTATTTGGCAACGCACTTTGAAAAAAAAAAATTCAAAGTGCGTTAAAATTTGGACAAAATCAACGCATTTCGAAATTTTTTTTCAAAGTACGTTAAGGGTGTGTATAAACATTTATTTTTTTTTTTTTACCGTGGAGACACTTAATGCACTTTGAAAAAAATATGTATAAAACAAAAATAGTAATAGACAGCATTATTTTGTTAAATTTCTTTTGAAAACCTGATGAATTGATTTACTTGCATTGAGAACGAGGAGAAGACAGATAGAAGGTCCCTCAGCCCAGAACTTTATCTTTCCTACCCAAATATATGTACTTTCATTACTGTTATGACATTTAACCCCCCCCCCCAAAAAAAAAAAAATAAATGAAATAAAATAAAAATTAAAAATAATAATAACTAAAGCAAAGCTCGTTGCCAAGCAAGGAGTGGGTCTTCCGATGGACGATGGATGTCGAATATGTTCAGAGTGTTTTCTGGCCCTTAAGATGCCATTTCCGGTGAAAAAAAGAAGCCAAAAAAAAAAAAAAACCCAAACAAAACAAAACAAAAAACAAAAAAAACTTAAGCTTCACTTACAAACCATTTTATACCTTTTCTAATGATTTCTAGCAAAAAATTTCCATTTCTCTCGACTATTTCTGATTTATACTGTAGTACTTTTTGGATTTCTTTCGATTACATGTAGTTCTTAAAGCCTTTCCTAAACATTCTTTAATTTAAAAAAAAATGTTTAATAAAAATCACTTCCTCTTCAACCCGAAGAGACAGATTCAAAACCAAAAATTTGTAATGCATAACTCAAAGGGAATTCTATCTTCCCTGTAAAAATTATGATTCCGTTTTGAGTCATTTGATAGAAAATTGACAAAATAGTTAAAAATATGAAAATCAGACAAGAAAAAAATGCAACAGGAAGTATTTTTAAATTCAAAACAAAAAAATCTTTAAAATAGGTTCGATACTTTATGAAAATTGTATATACTAAGAAAAGGGAATAATCATTAAGGGAAACAAAACATAAATAGTAAGATCTTCAGGAGGGAGTCGAAAGACCTTAATATTACATGTGTGAACAACAAAAGTGTGTCTCTTCAGTCTTCTCCCATACTTTGTCAAGGTCAAATTATTGAATTGGACTTCCTTTTGAGTAATTTCTTCATTATTTCTAAATACCTATTTCCCTTTTATAACATTTATGAGAACCTTTGGGAACAAGACAACCCCTAAAAATCTTTGAAACGTCTATATCACGAAGTGACACCATCACCGAAAAGTTATCCAACCATGCAGGTTCAAATAATTATTAATCATACCTAAAATTTGAAGAATATTAACCGTGCACATATTTTTTTCACAGTGCGTTAATATGGTCTTGTTAACGCACTTTGAAATGAAATATTTTATTTTCAAAGTGCATTAACTTGGTCCCAAATTTAACGCATTTTAAATTTTTTTTATCGTCATTATTAAATAGAGAGTCAGGCTTATAAAAAAAATAATAGACAACACTCTTGGGGTTCATTAAAATCAGAAAAACAAACAGTAAAGACCTTCTGTAAACTAAGCCGTTTACTAGATCATAAGTCTAAATGCTGGTATATTTTATTATTGTTTGTTTTGAAATTGAACAATAAGTAATTTCAAAAAAATAAATGTTATAGGTATAACTAATAAAAGTCATGTTCCATTAAATATACTTAATATTAAAAAAATGGCTTATTTTATGATTTTAAATCAGATCGATCTGAAGATAACCTGAAACAAAATCATTTGTTTCTACTTTGTTCAATTATTTTATGCATTTTTTATCATTCTAATTTACTATACATTTTTCCACAATTTTAAGGAAACTGTCGCTAATTTTTCCCAATTCAAAAAGAGTGGGAGGTAGTTTAAAAAAAGGAAGAAAAAAATCGCTGATTATGAAATGAATTGAACATTTACGTCTTTTGACAAACTCGTTTTGTTAATCTATATTCCTCCGCTCTGAAGTTTAAAAATAAAAAAATATGATACATGTTCTGAATGGATATGACATAAATATATTGATATTACGAGAGGTATTTGTAGGACAATTCTGGAATGAAATAACTTATTGATAATACGATTATTATATAGTGCAAAAATAGTTTGTGGTTTTTAGGTATATACGTAAATATTTGTCACAAACCCTTCATTTCCGAAGCGAAAACAGAGACAATGATCATCCAATGTAATATTACTGAAGACATTTTTCCTCTCTTAGTGAAAAATCACCAAAAAAAAAAAAAAAAAAAAAAATGATGATATACAACATTATATAGACACTTGTGTTTGTAGATCAATTAAAACACATGTTGCAGTATTGATTTATAATTTATATGAAGGTTTTCAAGATATCAATTACATACATGTAAAAGCACCTCATTAAAAAGATATCTATGATATAGAATTTAAAAATTCGATTTCATTAATAAATTTGCGGAACTTTGTAGTCATAATATCCTGTGTTGATTGAAATGGTGCATTTACCTATTCTTATGGGTTTTTTAAATATTCAATTCTACTGGAATTTCATTATGTAGAATTACAGAAGTCCTCCCTCTCCCCTTTCTCTGCAAAACATGTTTTTTTATTAAATGTTTTGTGTGCTACTTTCGAGAGTCTAGTGATAAACGCAGTATTAGTTCAACATGCCTAATGCATGTAATAAATGTTTTTTTTTTTTTTTTAATTTGAAAAAGATGAGCAATGATATTCATTATCTCTAGATCTCTAGAACCAATGTTTAATTTATGTTGGATATTTAAAATGTGGTTTTCCCCTGAACATCATTCTTATGTAGGGTTTATTTAGAATATACTCGGAGAGAAGTTTCAACTCAAGAAGATATTGCCTTCTGTCGATGCATTGAAATCCCACGGGGAGCTCAGGTGGAATGAGAGGGTTTCAGGGGTTTAGAACCACGATGATGTTAGTTTTATTAAATATAATAAATAAAATAAAAATAAAATTAAATATCCATATGGTAAAGTAACATTAGAACGACTTAAGCCTCCCCTTTACCTGTTCAAAAACAGGTTCAAATAAATGTTCAGTGGATCCGCAGCTGACTTCAGAATTTAACAGCTATACTATCTAGTAAACCGTTCCGCCATTCAATGCGTTTTTATTCTCTTGATAAAGATAGAATGGGTTGTGGTTATACAGGAATTATTTTTTTGTTTATACTTACAGTTGATTGAAATGGTAGGGAGGCAATCAGCATAAGAATTCAGATGAAAGGAGGAGGAGAAAACTATTATTTATAAGTAAAGGAATTCCAATGGTAATAGAATATATCAAAATCTCACCTCAACGATTTTTATGCATATGAGACTTTGTTTTGTATTGTAGTATTAAAAATCATTTTCACCATTAGACATTGGAGTGCTTTAGTTCGATTTATTCAGTTGATATTAATATGGTTATATTTCAAATATCCCTGATTTTGTCGTATCTTTAACACTGTTTATACATGTGTACATCTGTATATACATGTGACATTGTGTTATTCTGTCGTATTTTACAGTTCTAATAGTACGTTTTATATCTATTTTCTGCAAAGTATCTTGCAAATAAGTAACTCTGACCATATTTTACGCATAAAGGACATAAAGAAATGTCTTTTAATGTTATCATGTCATATGACTGAACCTTGAACTTAGGAAGTTATTTCTTACTGGCAAAATAAGAAGATAATAAACAGTGACCGTTCTCATAAGTCCATTTTAACAATACAAATTATGAGTAGAGCAAACATAGACCTCTGAAAACAGGGGTTGGATCAGGTGTCATGGAGGAATAAGCATCCCTTACCAACTGGTTCCATCCGCCGTGTGCTCTTTGTCATGGTCGGGTAAACTGACGATCAAATTTGCATGAAAAATGTCAGTCAACATTTGACCTACCGACAGATTTTATTTGCCAACAAAGTCATTGAATCGATTATGTTTGCCGAAGAAATCAGGTATCCATGTACTTCACGTTTTTTTTCTGTTATAAAGTTGGCTAAATGATCTCAAGACACAGAGTGAACATAAATCTCTGCATTTTATACATTCTTACACATTGGTTTTTGAAATGTTGTAAAATCGGCGTATTTTTAGACATTGACTGTGAATTTTGCATCAGTTGAATCTTAACTCTCTTGGCCGTTATAAATAGGCTCTGTGTATATTAATAGTTTCCTTTTATTGTATCTAACAAAGTTACTTAGTATATCCTGAACAAAATTTGAATCTAAGGTTAGACACACATTTATCTGATATCTGCATACAATATATGTGGGGAGCATAATAATGCAAACAATTTATCCTTTCAAAAGCCTGTGGCCCTTATTCAAGGGGGGGGGGTCTAATTCTTTTGATAGATTTTTTTAGTTATAAAACATTGAACAATGATTTTCAAAGCTTTTTCTCCTTCATTTTTAATACACAAATAAGGCCTCTCGTGTCACCTGAAAACCAAATTTCGAGGATGTGAATTTCAAAATTGAGAAGGATCATTATCATTCTTCATGCATGGTATCAAATGCTAGATCTGCATGATAAACTTTGTTTTAGAAATCCTGCGACTTCATTAAAATTTAAACCCTTGAAACTGAAATCAGAAATCGGACTTGAAAAGCATAAATGATAAAAATTCATTATTAATATTACGGATACATCATGCATGTAAAATGTTTGTGAATATTGCATTATACATGTATCTGTTAACACTGTAAACAGAAGCTATTTTCACTTCTAAGCACTGATAATCCGCTCTGTATACAGGGGCTGTATGCACTACACTTCTGATAAACTGCTTCATATACATCTGTTTCATATTTAGATATTTTACTAGAAAAAACGACTTTAATAGTAACCTGACAACAAAGCTATATGATAAAACGTGATGACTTCAATTTTTCAATTGCAACTTCCTTACTTATGTAGCAATATGCCTTTATCACCTGCTTAAGGGGTTTTTGTCTCCCAGTTGATTCGATGCATGCTCTACATATAAACAATTTCTAAAAAAAAATTATACTAATTGTTAGGCCATTATTTACCCACTGAATTGTGTACGAACATTTTTCCGTTTTTCCCGAGCATGACAAAGAGCACACGGCCGGTATGACCGGTTGACAGGGGATGCCCACTCCTCCATGGTACCTGATCTCACCTCTGATGGTTTTGGAGGTCTGTGTTTGCTCTGTTCCCCATTTGTATTGTTGAAATGGACTTTGAGCTTGAATACTGTTCGTTATCTCTATATATCATACAGAAAGTGTATTTACAACACCACTGATATTCCGCTTCATACAATCTTCAACATAATGAAATCCCAACTGCAATTACTTTTTTGCCTTTTCCTCGCTGGAAATACAGTTTCCAGTGATAGTGATTGTGTCAGCAAAGAGGAATTTAATGCATTAAAGCAAACTCTACTGAACCGATCAAGAAATCTGGAGATCGAGAACAAAGTTCAGTCGAAGAAAATAGCCAACCAGGAAAGAATTATATCTCATCTTAAAGAATCGCTTGTAAGAAACGAAGAAACATTGACCGAAGTAAGCAGGAAAGAAAAAAATTATGATAAATTCTAAACAAAAGAAATGAAAACTGCGAATTTATCTCAAAGGAACATATCCTCATCATGGAAGAGAATGGCACAACCGAGTGAGTTAAATTTTATATACAACTTAATTATATGCATGCAATTTTAGTAGTCTATCAAGCATTTCGATACCTAAAAAGTTAAATTCTATATGCTTGTTTATTTTAGAACTGCTAGTAGATACATATGTATGTTTCTTTTATCAATGGAAAGCCGCCTCTTTTTGAATTTGTTGATGTTAATTTTCGCAGTCTAGAGGCTGAACTCCTTCATAGACCTGTCAGTGCAAAGTCAAGGCAATATTTATTATCAAAGTAAAAGACTGATTTCAGTTTTTTTGGGAATCTTTTACAACCTACATAGTAGCAAAGTCAAAAGATTGGTTAATTGTTATTGCTAGTATTATGTTTTGTGTATGTACATCTTTATATTCAATATCACATGCACTGTTTTAACAATGTAGAGAAAAGATTAATTATAATTGTTAAATTCATTAAATTGGAAACAAAACACGAAATGAATATTGGCAAGGACCTGATAATTCTCTAAATTAATCCGTTGCACATCTTCACATGGGTGTTACAGTCATAAAACCACTTTTGACTGAAAAAAAAAAACAATTAATTGAAGAAAGCAAAAGAAAACCCGCAATGAGATATCACATTTACAGACATGATTGGGACTGTTGATTAAATTAATTTTTGCATTTATAAAACAGTCAGCACTTTATGGCAATAGTGTTGTGTTTGCATCAGATAGAACGTTCTATCATTAAAATGATATTGTCCCTCAGACCCGGTTTAACGATAGAATTCGTTCCGTGTATTGGCAATGTAGCAAAATGAACACGGGCGATAACTCGAACTCAGTGCATTTACTATGATCAATCCAGAGAGTTTCGAGTGTCAATGGCGTGTAAATTTTAAGCGAGAAAAAATGTTGAGAAAATGAGTTGAATTTTTGTTTATATGTATTATTTTTTAGGTAAAAGGCATAAACAAACTCAAAAAGGTTTGTTATGATTAATTTGGTAGTTATTTTCAGTGCAACTCTTTTTGTATACTTCAAAATCATTTCGGAGCGGATCCGCTCCGATTTGCTACATTGCAAGTATATGGGACATATTCTAACTGTGGTGAGGGTTTCTCCCGAGACACAGTTAGATTATTCTTACTATGTTTGCATGTACAATGAATGATCGGTAATCAAGATTTGATACACAGTGAAATTCAATCGCATACATGATATGACCAGTAGTTTTGGTATAGTATATGCAAAATACAACAATGTTATATAAATAATGAAAGAAGTTAAGATAACAAACAGCGATCGATCTATATCTACATTTCCAATGTCTTTGTCCGAGATAAAATTACAACTTGTAAAAATACTTTATTTCTACATAAATCTACTGGTTCATCGATAGGCGCGGTTAAAAAAAAATCACGTGCGGGGCGGGACAAATAGAGACAGAAGCGGGGCTATTAGCACGGGAATTTGCAGGAGCATGTAAATATAAGGAATAACTGTCAGATTTTTTGGATTCATGACGATGATCAATCGATTGGCTTGCGTGATAATTTTATGCATAAACGCCTTCGGCGTTTATGCA